GGGGGGGTCTGAATTGAGCGATCAATTATTAGACCCGGACGTCCCAACACTTGCTTCGCAAGACAAACTCAAGGTATCCCCTAAAGGGCTACCTTTCGTGACTTGTGCGAAGCGTCCTGAATATGACCATTGTCCTTTTGGTTTGGGGTGTCCCCATGGAGGACATGTGTTTTAAGAAGTTCGTTCATGGTCCATAATTCATAATAATTCACCGCCCCAGGGACTTGCGCAGCCCCCCAATGTTGCACACCCACTTGGCAACATTTAATTACTTGGTCTTACTGCAATGTCATGAATCGTCAGATCCCTGGCCAAGAGGCAGCGCTTGCGCGGCGCTGTGTGCGCCGCTTGACATTGTCCAAGGTCCCCACATCGCCGAAGGACCTGCAAATATCAGAGATCCTCCGACACTCAGTACACCTAAGATTCTAAGCAGTGCTCAGCAACTCAAAGGCTAACATTTTCAAGTCGTGCAATATGGAAGCCAACATTCTCATAGTTGGAGGCCATTGCTTCTAGGTTGGAGGCCATCACTATTAGGTGCGAGGTGCTTACGTTTGAATTTATTAGCACTGGCCACCCGCCTTCGCAAGCCTTTCAGAACATGGCCACAAGCAAAGATCGAGAAGACTGGGGGCCTTCGGCAGATCCGGCCCAGGTAAGGTGTGTTATATGCATGAGAGATGCCTTCAAATAGCACTTCCCACTCAAGTGCCCCAAAAGCACTGCAAACATCTGCAAACTAAGGTTTTCAGTGTACGTCATCGAGTCAAGGCTTGAAGATCGCCTTCCGACTTTCAACGATTGTCACAGTTTGGAGGCGCTCCAGGACGACCCTCAATCAGGGCGAGTGACGTGTTGGCCAGTGACGGGATCGGAGATGTCTCCGCCGCTGCCTTCCAATGCCTCAAATCTTCCCAGGAACATAGCCCCAAAAAGGCTTATACAAATGGGGAGCAGGACAATTGAAATCACTGCGTAACAACCTTTGAAATCCTTTGAATGCATTTGACGTTCATTCATGAATGGATTATATATATATATATTCCTAAGATGTCTACATCATGATCCGCCTTCTAGAGAAGAAACAAATGGTAGAACAACAAAGAATAGTAGATCCCTAACGCCATCTAAAGCCCTCGAAGGCAACACCTTCTGTGGAAGTTTGCAAGCGTGCAATGAAAGAGCTGCACGGCCGATGGTCGAGTACCATGTTTCCACTCACTCATGGGACCACTTGCCAATCTCCAGGTTGCAAGACCATAGGTGTCTGCGGCAAGGCAAAATCCAACAGGTCCCTGCGAACCTCAGGAAACGAACAATGAAGCAAAGTGAAACCCAGTTCTTCATTTATATAGATGCTTCAGTGCGGCGGGTGTCTCTTGAGGCCTCTTCTTCCGGAACGGACAAACCCCTGCTTGGTCCGCTCAGGCAATACCTCATTACTTATCCCAGGCACAATGCCCTACAATGCTTAGTATCTAGCTAGTGGCAGAAACGCAATCTGCAAACTACACAATAGGGAGCAACGCAACCACATCTTTCAGCTCGAGTGTCGACGACAAGGCAAACGCCCGCTGGGCCCAAATTCTTGCCCGCAGAGCAGTACAATGCGGCATACCCTCAGAGCCAAACACCCGAATTTGCAGCCAAAGGGCTGTTACATTTCGGTTTGGTGCTACAATTTGGCAACTGGCAAAAGCAAAAGGGTGCACCAAAGCAATCAACAACATCAATGAGAAGAAACACGTCCACCTCCATTCTGCACCGCGTTGCGCTGAGCATTGCAGATTGAATAATGGGGCTGAACTTGTTTCTTTACATGCACAGTTGACAAAGGACATCAAGGGTCGTTTCCCTAGGCACCTCAACCGGTCCTGATTGGCCGGGACGCGGGAGATGTTCACCGGGCGCGAAAGGAGGGTCGAGGTGAAGTCGGCCACTAGAAGGCGATCACCGAGGTCGAGATCCTCAAGGGATGATCACAATGGGGCCATGATGATGGTCAAAAACGAGAGGAGGTAAGGCCCTATGCTTTCCTACCTTCTGTCTTTCTTTAAGTCCTTTCTATCTGAAGACCACCCCAAAGCATATTGTGTTGTTGGAATGTCTTTCTGGCGGCCAGCGTGACGTAGAATGGCATATTGCACCAACTCCCGACCTCAAGGAACTCGACGCCGCTGATTGTGTCATTTCCACAAATATGTACCTTTGTATGTCAGCGGGTTGGATTTTAAGAAGAGCCACACCCAGCGGATTTATTTGGACACGAATCTGATTGAAACCACGTGGTTTACGTCGAGTCTAGGTCTAGGTCCTAGGTTATCGAGTGTGGTTTCTCAACCTGCATCTTGGACAGCGCGATAGATGCTCAAGAAAACATGGTTCCTCAACATTAATTCTTCAACAGGTGGGTCAAAGGTGGCAACAAAAGGCTGAGACATGCTGAGACCGAGTGGCATAGGCAGACTCATCCTTGGACATATCATGGAACTCACTCATTCACTCTGGCCAAGCTGTGGCTCAAAGCCAAAACAACTCCAGTGCTGCTTGCGCTGTTCCAGTCAAGACTCTGACAAATTCCACTCGGAGACTGGAGGAACTTCCAGTCTTCCACCCTCCTCTCTCAATTCTGCACAGACCCGCACAGTGCAAAACTTCCGCGCCTCGTTCCTTGGCACAATGCTTCGGAAGACCAACACGACAAAAGCAAGGGCCCTTTACCTGTGAGCTTGGTGGTACTGCCATTGCCTTTCAATTCGGGTTCGCTGCTGCACTTTCACACCCTGCATAGCTCTGATATCTTGATACAGTCCACCGTATGAGTTTTTTTGTTTTTACATTGGTTCGACTGGTCGCTCTATGAACCTAGTAACTTGACACCTTGCTCATGACATGAGGAGTGTCCGACACACCCTGAACTTCCTTCAACCACACCCCCAATCAAATGCATGATGCCAATTCCCAGTGTCCAAATTCCCTCCAAAACGCCAGGAACAAGGACAAGACATGGCAAAACCAACACTCCAAGACTCAGTCGTTGAACTACTTGACCTTCTAAAGCCTTTTGCGTTCCGAGATGCATTGCCCGCCGGGACCAAACCCCGGTATCCACATAGTCGGCCTAACAGGTTGTCGGAAGCATCTGGGCATAGGCACAGCTTCTATAACTGTATCTTTTTAAATACAAGACTTCAAAGCACCTCCGGTGATGTATGTTCCAAGGGATGTGGCGTGAGATCTTTCGCTGACACTCGGCCAAGATCTTGAAAAACTCAGGGGTCCACCGGGAACAAGACCTTGCCTGAAACAATGCCCTAGGGATACCTTCTTTGTAGCACCTATAGCCTATAGCCATGGGCCTCATTCCACAACGCGGGTCAGGATGCCCCTCTATTCCCATCCTCTAGTTCCTTTCATTCAGAACTTGGTCTCAGCATGACATGACTAAGCATTTGCCTATGCAATTCCACACTTGCATGAACACAACAATAAACGTTCCAGGCAGAAAGGGGTTAAGCCAGTTGCTCCAAATGATTTCATAGCAGCACCTCTCCTCGATGGTACATGATGGTAAGTAAGCTAAGCTCGGAGATGGCAACCTTCGCAACATGTGTTATAAGTTATAATTGCATTAACTGCAAAGGTTGCCAAACCATTGAACTATGCGACTGGATGAAGCTGGCATTCTCAACTGCCGGATCTGCGATCCGATGTTCAAGCGCTTGAGAATTCAGGTGCTCTCACTATGCCATGCTGGCACACCTTTCATGATGAATCTGGTGCGATTTTCCTGAGACGTTTAATCTCTGATGAAGGCAACAAGTCGCCAACGCCCGTTCATATGCCATTGTGCTGCTTTGTATTGGTGACTGGTAGGTACTCATCATCTCCTTGGTTTGTTTTTGTAGTTTTGTAGGTGTACAGTGATTATGATTACTGTATAGTGTGTAGCGAGCCGGTTGATGCCAAACCGATACCGCTTTTCAAGCAGCAAAGCAGCTATTACAGTAAATACAGTAAGTTATGACACAATCATGCCATGCCGCACTGGGAGTTCTGTGCATTGATTCTGGAAGGTGTTGTTTGACATATGGCACTCCGGTAGCTTTGGCACTTCTTTTGACTGTCGGCATGTCAGCAGTGGAACCTCGACTCAGCCACCACAATGCCCTTGGCTCTGCGTTGCTTCCCTGCCTGCGTCTTGTCTCTTAGAAGGTTAAGGGGCACAGCTGCGAACTGTCCATGTGCACCACCCTGCAGAAAGAAGGCTGACGAGACGCGACGGGATGCTAACAAGTGTGAAGCTGGCAAACAAACCTTTCAGCAGTATTCCAGGCGACCATTTTTTGCAGCAGCATCAAGGTGCATCTATTTTGGGAGTCAGCTATCTGAAACCCTGAAACCCATCGCATGCCAGGCCACTTCCAACCAACTTACTGTAAAGTATCCGATGCTTCCCACGGGTGTCTGACCCCTAGCCAGCACCGGAACTCGAAAGCCAATAAAGTAACCTGCGACCTCTTTCTAGCTGGATGTCACCGACATGGCAACAGGAATTCGGACGTTCTCACCTTGAACATATAAACACTTTTCTTATCGAATCTTAGTCATTCTCCGTGTCAGGCCCTGACAAACGCATGTATTAGATCGTCACCTACAAAAATATACTGCAGCACATTTGCGCACCATGCACGGGTCTAAAGCAACGTGAAGATTGAGCAGCTCGTGCGGAGCCTTCAGATCCAAATGTCAACAAGCTTGAGCATCTCCTTCTGTCCCCTACTCCGGCTGCTATTTAATTCTGTCCAGTCATCCCACGTCCCCCTTGCTTCTGTCTGCTGGCCCTGCCTGTTGCCAAATGACCGCATAATTGGAAGGGACGCCAAGGATGTGACGGACGCAGTCCGTGGCCTCAACCAGCATTCCCGAATCAGTCCTAGAGCTCCTCGCTCAGGTTCTTTCTATTGGACGAGCTTCACGCTAAAATCGAATTGGCACGTGAAGGCCCTTATACTATAGGATCGTATGGATCGTAAAAGTACGTAATAGTTATAGGCACTCCTACGTTCACCACTGCCCTTTGCATGTTTATTTGTCAAGTGCTTGACCTCAAACCTCACACCTGGGGTGTCCATCCTGCTTTGCCTGGAGTAGTGCAGATCTATCCTGCAACTGTGACTCTTAGGTCAATGGATCACTTGAGGGTTAAGGGGGGAGTCAGGAAATAAAGCCTGACCAAATCAGATCGACACCTGCCTAATCACGAGGAGCCAGGAGCTTTCAATGATTGGTATTTGCTTGGCAGGTCTTTTGGGGATGCATATGTGTGAAAGGCGGTATGGTACGAGTATTGTATCCTACCTTTGGTGCCTCTATGGGCCGATCACTCCCTATCGGCCTCGGAGGCCCATGGGGAGGATATAGCAGCAACGGCCAAAACGTATTCCATTGCTGGAAACCATGGGAGCATATGTGGGGAATACCATGGTGCTGCTGGGAACAGGAGTGTTTTCATGAAGGAAGCTTTATGGGGATCGAATCCAGGACTTCGGATATTTGGAGCCAGCTTTAGAGTGTATTCTCATCGGTTTCATTTGTTCAACGTGTGGACACAAAGTCTGAGCACCGAACCCTATGCGTAAGCAAACTGTGGAGAACCAAGCAGGTAAGTAGGTAATGTTCGGGTGAACCCTGGGAGGAATAGCTTGGAGATGTTGAAGGTGAGAAAGAGACAGGCACGCAAATCATCAGAAAAAGGGTTGCGCACGTGATGGTCTTCATATCGTATAATGTGGCCAGAGTAGCATGTGTCGCAGCAAAAACAACTGTAAACATGCACAGTGCAGGGCAAAGCCAAAACCTAGCATCATAGGTAGGTAGGGTAGGCGACGCATTCGATGATGTCCTTCGATGAAGACACTTTCGGTGACAAATCAGGTGATATTATAGCTAGCTACAGTAGATACCTTGTCTGGTCTGAGCTTGTTGGATGACCAAATTGTAGTGTTCAGCATTGTCAGGATCATGCGGTTCAAAACAGCCCAGCATACCAAAGGCATCTTTAAAGGTTTCGTGAAACCAATAATGTCTGGGAACTAGGTCGTCCGTATTCACTACGGGGAGTGAAGTTCAGGAGGTATAGTCAAACAAAACTTGCCTCATTGGGTCTAAAGGGGAGGATCTTAAAATATGACGAAGTAGTTTATACAAAGTTGTGTTTTTCAAGTGTGGGGAAACGCTCCTTGTGAGTGCGATGGGAGTCACAAAGTGTGTCGACAACACTTTGATTCGTAGCTGAGCGATCAATGAATGTAGGCGGAATCTTGAGAATTCGACGAAGACCCTTCCTTTGAAAAACATTGAACTTGGAGATGTCTTGCGTCGTGAGCTGGAAATTTTCAAGTTAGTAAAGGATCTTAATTACTTAGAATAGCATTGAAAAAATTGAAGACCAGCAATTTCCAGACTATTGTGGTGTTGGCATTTTCCCAACAGAGCTTGAATTTTTTGGCAGCCTCTATGCGATTGTTGATTTCGCCTTTATCCGTCAAAATGGACCGAGGTATGTAGCTTCACGTTTCCGGGGCACAAGGGTACCATCAATAGATCGCATACTTGATTGTTTCTGATATAGGGTGAGGTCTATACATTTGTCATCATTTGTCAGTATCTAACTGCGTGTTGCACCAATTGGACCAGCGTGTAATCGTTTATCAATTGAGTGCGTGTGTGGGTTGTCCCAGATAAACGGATCATCAGCATAGCGGCTCCTGTTGTTTTGGTGTGTTGACCTTGATGTCTTGGAACAATACAAAAAACATCATACTGTAATAGTAAATACATAAGTAAGGCGAAAGCGGACAGCCTTATACCGAACTCTTGTTTCAAATCCGGAATTGTGGATCATGGTGCATAATGTTAGATCCCAACTAGCATAATGGGAGGGAATATATATAAACAGGTTTTGTACCCAGGGTGCTTTTAAAAGAACTCATGATGTGTCTATTCTTTTGCTATTGTTGCCCTTTAAAATCCTTGCTGGTGCTGCCGTTGCTACTGCTGCTGCTACTACTATCCTAGTACCAAAGTATACATAGTATACTAGTAGTACTAGTACTACTGCATACTACTGCATCCTACTGCTACTACTCCTACGACTACTACTACTACTACTGCTACTGCTACTGCTACCACCACCATGTGTTTTTGTGGCGGTACTACTATTCAGACTCCATCCATTGTTTGCTAGGCTAGGGGAGGTTTATGCGTTTTAAGATCCAACATTAGCAGCAGTCAATTAAGTGAATGATTTTGGGTGGGGTTTTGATACGGCGGAGCACCTGTAGTAGTTTGTCCTGGTTGAGTTTGTCAAAAGCTTGTCCTAATCTAAGAGAACGAGTGACATGTTTGAACGCTTTCAGAAATGTCTAAAAGCCGACGTGCAATAAAAAACACAAAGGACTGTTGCGGATTTTGGGACCCTCCATTGAATTGCATAACTCTTTTCAAGTGTAATCCACAACCCGCAAGCAATCTTGTCTCCAATGCTTATAAAAAACTTTCATATGGTAAGGCCAGAATCATTGGTTAAAAAACAAGTCAAAAAAAGTCAAAAAAAGTCAACTGGAAAAGTCAAAGTCAAAAAGAAGTCAAATTGAAAAGTCAAAAAAAGACAACAAAAAGTCAAAAAAAAAACAAAAATAAATAAAAATAAACAAAAATGTCCAGTCAAGCGACTCAGGAGCAAAAGAAAGCCGGCATATATATATATATATGGAAAACACAGGCAAAGAGGACAAGAACATTGAACTAAACTAGTAACAAGCTCATAAGTCAGCCAAGGCAAATTGCAGCCTTTTTGCTTATGGCTTATGGCTTTCAGTCTATTAAAATTCTAGAGCCTTTTTGGTTGTTCAACTTTCACCTTTTCCAGCCCCAAGCCAGCCCCAACCCCC